CTCACTTCTGAGTTCATCTGAATCTTTTATAAAGCTGTCTGTTCTCTTTCAGAGTTCTATATAGCCTCTTTTTCTACTCTTACTACAGTGATTTCTGTGACATCTGTTAATAGACTAAAGATGTTTGCAAGTTTTAATCAACTTTCATATTATTAAACTTTCTAAGAGAAATATAAGACAGAAAATTAAATAAGACAGACTCTATATCAGAATATAACTAATCAAGATTCAGCACTATAACAGACAGCATCATCATCAGATATAATTATCATGAACATGAATACTAAAGAGATTCATATAAACCAGTCTCTTACAGTGAGGCTTAAGAATAAATACAGCTTATCAACATACTTCAGAACTATAATCATTGTCTGATTAGTCTTGAACACTGTTCAGAGACATACATTAAGTACTGTGATATTGAATTCTCAGTGATATGACTATTATTAATATTAAGTCACAGTAGTAATAATCATGTTATTCATATTTAATTCCCTGCTGAAGAACCTGTTGTTGAGAGAGTATCTATATGACTTCAGTTCAATTCTGTGAAATTTGATGAATCACTTCTATATGCTGAGACTCTGATGATGAACTCTGCAAGAGAAGAGAGCTGAATGAAAACTGTGTGTAATACTTGAAGAGATTCTGATGTGAGCTGTGAGAATGAGAATGAAACTGTTCCAGCTTGTCTCATCATTTCTTGTTCTTCAAGCTGCTAATACATAGTCTCAGTGATTCTTCAGAGCATGGCCATCTTCTTTGCAATTTTCACCCACATTTCTGACTTGAATCTGCTTGCTCTGTCAGTAAGCTAGCTGATTATCATCAGATATTACATCATTTTTATCTTTCATATAATAATGCTAGCTTGATCTTGAGATCCTTGCTTCACTCATTCTGTCTCTTGAGATAATTCTGATAGTGCAGATGACAGCTCATTGCACTTCATTCAGGAAGTTTCTCACTGATATCTTCTTATGTCATTTCATGTCTCTGAAGCTTGATGATGCAGACATCTTCTTCTGAGAACCACTTTGACTTCTTCTTGAGTAGAATTTGGCGTGCATCAGAGCTATCAGTCTGGACATCAGGTGTCATTGATTTGTTTTGAGCTAAGTGTTGAATCATACATGCCATAGAGAAATCTGTGGTATTTTACGAGGAGAAAAGGGAAGAACGAGCGATGGAAGCAAAGTGGGAGGAGGGCTGGCTTTATATGTCTTCAGTTCAGACCCTCTGGTCTATGCTAATGTTCCCCCCTGGAATTGGATTTGGAGCGATCGTGAGGGACCGCACCGTTTACAGGATACGTTGGCTGAGCTAGGGGCCGGCTCGGGGCCTACGAACAGAGGGGAGATTCATATGACATCTACAGTACGCCCTCCACACTTCCCGTTTGTGTATGGATAGAAGATGAGATTTTACATAACTAACTGATTTCATAAATTATTGAGCGTTCCAACGAGGAAGACAAAAAATGACGCATGTACTACAGAAAATCCAGTGGCGCATGCCCTGCACCAGGTGGGCAAAGCGACCCATCAAGAATCAGCGTTATAACCGGCAGCGTCATCACCAGATGCGATTACCGAGAGAAAATATGAAGAGGAAGGAGAACATCAGTCCGGGAGATCCGTAAAAACCGGCCTCCCACGGTGGGTATGGGTTTATATTTTCTGCGGCACCCGCACCAATGCAGTCACGATCGAATATCTCGCTGCCTCAACCTTGTTAACTTCCCGCTCTATGTGTACAATCCTTCCGCCCGACCGTAGTTGTTGAACTCATCGACGAATTTCTCATTCGACTTCGCGGCTAATTCCAAGTGTTTGTATGCCACCTGTGTTTCCTTGACTGTAGCCAAGGCATGGGCGACGGACATGAGATTTTTGATCTAGTTTGAAATCATGTGAGAAGCAATCTTTGCGCGAGTATTTTTTGAAACTCACATCTCAGCCATTCAGAACTGTTGATTCCAAACAGTTGAGGTTGTGACCTTCAACAACTGCGGGTCCTTGATCTGTAGACATCTTTGAGAGAAAATATGTTCAGATCTCTCTTTGAGACTTCATTGTCAAACCTTCATACTTCACTTTCAAGTGAATCCGGCTTAGGATTGCTTCATTGAACTTCATCAAACAGTTGATTGTGAGAAAGAGAATTTCTTCATAGTATTTGAGTTTGCAAAGGAAAATGATAACAAGGTGATTGTGATCATTATGATATATCAACCTCTTTTTCATAAAAACATCTGCTTCATTTAACAGCAAGATCATATTGAAGCGTCTAGTGATCTTAAAGATTCAGTCAAGTGTCATGTTCAGCTTGAGAGAATTACTACTATTAGCAATCAATTCACTCACTGATATCTACAATATTAAGTACAGAACATACTGACTCTTTTGAGAATATCAGCTTACTGAATAGAGAGGAAGATTGAACTGTTCAGTAGTTACTTTAACAGTGAAAGTCTTTTTAACTTCTGATAACCTGCTAGATTAATCAATGTCTTTAGTTAAAATCAGTATCAGAAATCTGCATGCATGACATACTATAAGAGTATATTAAGCTCTCATTTCTTTTCCTTAATAAAATTATAGAATGAGAAAGTATGAAAATACCTTAGCTAAGAGATTATCAGAGATAAGAGAATGTATTTAATATCTTTTAAAATCTGCAGATAATTAAATAATATTTCTGATCACTGAATCTCACATAGATCAGTCACTGCATATTTCACTTAAAAAATGTTAGAGAATTAAACAATCTTTTCTTATATAAAATTTAAACTTACAGAAATATTTCTTCTCAAAGCTGAAGTAGCAGACTGTCAGACAGCAGATTAGTAAATCATTATCAGTTATTTTTCTTATTTTCAATTCATTACTCTTTATTCTTTTCAGCTCTTTTCAATACTGCTCTGAATTAACAGAAATGATACTATAAGCTAAAAGATTTTCTCAGCTCTTATAGATTCGGAGTCAGCTATAGTTAGACTGATTATGTGAAGACTGGCCGCTGGGACCATGAATTTCACATTTGATCTCATTTGGTCTGGTCTCATACATTTCTTGGCGTGAATCCCACTGGGACTAATCATTAAATAAACATGCAAAGTGACTATATATCAGATCTCAAAATGAAACCATGACTTGAAAAAAATGAGAAAGTGATCTCATTTGGTCTCATTTAGTCCCATTCTTGGCATAAAGTTACTATTTTTAGACATTTTAAGGTTTTTTTTAGACTATTTTTAATTTTTTAAAAAGTAACACTTTTTGATAACACTCAAATGAGATTTAAAGCCATTTAAAGCAATAAAAATAATTTAAATTGAGAAGTGGAAATCATGATCTCATTTGGAAAATGTGACAAGAGTAGACAGTAAGTCTCACTGAGACAGTATGAGACTACTATCTAATGTTAGAACCGTGTAATAGGATCTGTCGAATTAACAATGAAACTATCAAAAATTCTGGTTCTGGTCTCAGACACAGTTACATAATCAGTCTAATTATGTGACTGTGTCTGAGATCAGAACCAGATTTTTTAATAGTCTTATTATCAATTTAACTAATCTTATTACACAGTTTTAACATTAGATAGTAGTTTCATACTATCTCAGTAAGACTTACTGTCTACTCTTATTATATTTTTCAAATGAGATTATGATTTTCACTTCTCAATTTAAATTATTTTTATTACTTTAAATAACTTTAAATCTTATTTAAGCATTATCAAAAAGTGTTACTTTTTAAAGAATTAAAAATAGTCTAAAAAAAACCTTAAAATATCTAAAAATAGTAACTTTATACTAAGAATGAGATTAAATAAGATTAAATGAAATCACTTTCTTCTTTTTTTCAAGTCATGGTTTCATTTTAAGATCTTATATATAGTTACTTTGTATGTTTTTTTAATGACTAGTCTCAGCAGAATTCATATCAAGAAATGTATAAGATCAGATTAAATAAGATTAAATATGAAATTTATAATCTCAGCAGTCAGTCTAGCTATAGTTGAGTTTCATTTCACAGAAGAAGACTGTATTAATTATCACTCAATTATCAATATTCACTATGATAATCTTGTGATTTTTCATGATAAATGCACTTTCTTTGCAGTGCCGGAGTTGAGTGTCTGTATTACTCAGTGCCTCCGAGGTAACTTTGTAAAATATATACTCACACTCAATGAGGTCATTGTGCACCCGCTCATAATCTGAATGATAGTGTAGTGAAAATGCTTCAGAAGTGTGAATCAGTTTATACCTGTAGAACTTAATAATATCAAACTCAATTTCTATCTTGTTAAAGACCTCTTTATTATAATTCAGATATCAGCACTTCAGTTTATAATACTGTACTTCTTTTTCTATGACCTCTTCTTCAGTGTTAAATATAACACATCACGGCTTGCCAGTACTCAGACATGTAATATATATATGTAAGTCAGGCTTGAAGAGTACTTAGAGAAGGTTATAGCTGATCTGCTCAGACTGTAATAATAGACTGATTATCAAAATTATGAATTTCATGTTTAGTTTCATTTGATCTGATTTCATACATTTCTTAGTATAAATTCTGCTGAGACTAGTTATTAAAAAAACATGCAAAGTGACTATATATCAGATCTTAAAATGAAATCATGACTTGAAGAAAATAAGAAAGTGATTTCATTTAATCTCATTTAGTTTCATTCTTAATATAAAGTTACTATTTTTAGACATTTTAAGGTTTTTTTTAGACTATTTTTAATTTTTTAAAAAGTAATGCTTTTTAATAATACTTAAATAAGATTTAAAGTTATTTAAAGGAATAAAAATAATTTAAATTAAGAAGTGAAAATCATGATCTCATTTGAAAAATGTGATAAGAGTAGACAGTAAGTCTTACTGAAACAGTATAAAACTACTATCTAATGTTAAAACTGTGTAATGAAATCAGTCAAATTGATAATGAAACTATTAAAAAATCTGGTCCTGGTCTCAGACACAGTTACACGGTCAGTCTATGTAACAATGATGTAAGATGCTGTTTTGTAGCAGTATATACACTCTTGATATGTCTGACAAGCAAGAGAAGATACTTCAGACTCTGGGGTTTGAAGTCTGCAGTCACTAGACTGGCCGCTGGAACTATGAATTTCACATTTGATCTCATTTGATCTGGTCTCATACATTTCTTGATGTGAATCCCACTGGGACTGGCTATTAAAAAAACATGTAAAGTGACTATATATCAGATCTTAAAATGAAATCATGACTTGAAAAAAATGAGAAAATGGTCTCATTTGATCTCATTTAGTTTCATTCTTAGCATAAAGTTACTATTTTTAGACATTTTAAGGTTTTTTTTAGACTATTTTTAATTTTTTAAAAAGTAACACTTTTTGATAACACTTAAATGAGATTTAAAGTCATTTAAAGCAATAAAAATAATTTAAATTGAGAAGTGAAAATCATGATTTCATTTGGAAAATGTGACAAGAGTAGACAGTAAGTCTCACTGGGACAGTATGAGACTACTATCTAATGTTAAAACTGTGTAATGGGATCAGTCGAATTGGTAATGAAACTATCAAAAAATCTGGTCCTGGTCCCAGACACGGTCACACGGTCAGTCTAGCAGTCACTCACAGCTTTTCTGCAAGCTTACAAAGCTCTGGCAAGAAATGAAACAGGGTTTTTTATTCAATCTGATTCTGTGTTAGTCTCTATATTTTCTCTTCTTTGAGTCTCACTCATCAACAGCTTATCTTTCATTAAGTTTACTCTCTTGGCATCTTGTAGCACCTCTGGCAGGATATCACGCAGCACCTCCGATTTAACATCAATGTATGTTGTCAACTCTTTCAACTTGTAATCTAAGTCATGTGAGAATTTGCCTGACTAATGAATCCTCTCTCTCTTACTGATATGTTTGCAGACAACAAACACATATTCATCCAGTGCATCAATGGTATCATCCGGTTCAATCAATTCAATAGTTTTGTACTTTGATATGGCTTTGTCCCAACTGGTTCGCTGTCAGTCACAGTCAAAGAGTAGTGAGAGGTATAGTGAGGTCATACACTTCCATAATGCTTTTGAACTCGGATCTCGACGCGCGATATCTGACTGCCGAACAGGAAGCTATTTCCAATCTGGTACCAGCTGTATTGGACTGGCGTTCACATGGATGTCAGCATACACTCCATTGGCGGTTTTGTAATCTATCTTTGAAGCGCGAACCCTTTTCTCATCTTCATTTTGGTCTTCATCGCTAGCTTGCTTTCGGTCGGCTGGCTCGCTCCCTGGGTCCAGGGAGGAGCGTGTTTTCGCTGCCCTGACTTCGCGAATGACTTCTAGCAGATCTTTCAATTCTTCTTGTGTGATGGGCGGCTGAGCAACACAATGCTGGGGGCTTTCATCGATAGGGGTACATGGACGCGTTTGGGATAGCGGGGGAGTGGCAGGGGTCTTGCCATTGAGTTTCATTGCTTGAGGCATCGTGGTAGTTGATGGATAAAGAAGTGTTGAAAACTGGTCTGGGGAACTGGGCTTGATGAGGTCTGTGAGTGTCTTCATTGCCTCAGAATTCCGGGGGGATTCGTGCTTCCTTATAAGCCATTCTGCCAACACTCCCAGCACCTATTCTTTCCCCGTCTTCTTCTGCTTGGACCCCATGGATACGAGAGGAGATGGCCGTCGCTCCCAGGATACATGGTCTCGACCCCGTCGACATGATTTGGTCGAGCCGTGCGTGCATATCTAGACGTAGAATAAGCTGTACATCCCAACCTAGAAACCCATCTCGCCATACGCCACAAATTTGCTTTACCAACTGTGCAATCGAGGCAAGATGATATCTGATCCAATACACATGTGACAAATTGCGCGTAACTTGCAGTAGCTGTTCCTGTTCAGTTAGGCCAAGCTGGAAAAACAATAAGTCGTTTGTGTAAATGCATGGAGTGTCTCATTGGATGACTGAACAAGCCTACGCCTCATTAGGAAATTCCTTGTATCAAAAAAGGGCAAGCAGGGATTAATTCACCCTGTGCCTATTTCTGACGTTATAAAAGTGCGACCTGCCTTTTAACGGCATGTCGCACTTTGCAGACGTGTCGAACTTCACCCTGCTGCCTTTCTTTGTGATACTTTCAACTACTTTTAAATGATTTATCCAATAAAACATGCCACCAAACCCTCTTTGTGGACAATTGAGCTCCCTCGCCGAAAAAGCGAGCTTGATAGCTGGGAAATTTGAAAGCGATCACGATTTTACCAGTGACCAATATGAAATTTTGGAGACTCTGACCTTGAAGATATCCGAGGCTATCGCTCGAACTACAGTGTTGATCCAATTGAAGAGGGAAGCACATTTTGCAGAGCATAATCGCTTTCTCTCACAAATGTTATCAGAAAGGGACGATCTCATCGAAAGCGGGCAGTTACCTAATGAAACAATATTCAGAAGAAACATCGAACTCATATTCCATGGCCCGAAGTTATCGAATCTCGACTCTTGTCAAACCAAAAGAAGAAAGGAAATAACACATCATAGATGCGATGACCTTTCCAATCTTAGCCCTGACAGTATCATTTTTTGAGCAACAATGCTACAGCCAGTGAATTGGGCGGGAGGTTCGATGGCGCAGGATCGTTTCAAATTCCTTACCGCCAACGTGGACTTGGACCGCGCACAGATGTGGCCGTCTCAGATATTCAAAATACTATGTGTGCTGGCCACGGAAGCGCCACTGCATGAATCAAGGAAGTATGAGATGTTTCTGGAAGGTTAGATAGACACACTAGCGACCACAGAGCACGACACTGATGGATGATTAGCACTTGAAAAATCTTCAACCGAATTGCGCTCACCAAAGCGCAGGCATGTAACAGCGACGGCCGAGCTGTCAAGCGAGAATCTCCAGCCTCAAAGTACGTATACCAGCTCATCACTGGAAAGAATGCCTGCTCTAACGACTCTGCAGCCATCACTTCAACTCACTCAACAGTTTTACCTGTCACCATTGCAGACATGAAAATTATCCGCGATTACATGAAAGAAGGACATCCGAACGACTTGTTCATCTCGTTTCCACATGCAGTTGAATGGCTACCTTTCATTTCTATTCCTTATCATATATGCGTGAAAATCATGGAAAAATACACAAATCAGAACAAAATAGCTCATCAGACATAGGAGCGTTAATCAGACAAAACTTGCTTCAAAACAGGGCTCATAATGAACCTGACTTTGGCGTAACCCATCAACCAGCAATAGTAATTGGGTTCCAAAAATATCATAGTCACTTTGTCTTCCGCGTCGGATTTTGTCTTGTAGGCTGCAATATCTCAGTGTAACCCATTGTTGTTAACAAAAATGCGGACTGCCCCAAGTCCACTTTTGAATTTGATAACGACCGCCGAAATGCAGGAATAGGAACCGTGTTGCAAAACCTTGACCGGAGTTATCCATCCTTCCACAATGCCATTCATGCCAGTCTATAGATTTATTCAGCTGGGCATTCAATAACTTGGCCTTGGTAAGAGCAGTACCTCCTCATTAAACACTGTTTTAAGTCCATCGTCATCTTCAGCAATGGATGTGACGTCCTTTGTTTGAAGAGGCCCGCTCGTCATAATGGTCACTGATACTGACCGTCCTTCTCTTCGGTAAACATATGATTCAGCGTAGTTTTATGTCTAAAACTTAATAGGTCTCTTAACGTATTTGCGAATGAATGTAGCGCCTGTACCGAGAGCCTATGGGGGTGCCGTGGTGCTTCGATAATATACTGCAGGAAGGTAGGAGAGTTAGCTTCATCAATGGCTTTCGGCATGAAGTGAGAGTAAAGAATCAGTGAGATTACCGCTCTGATCTCGAAGCCTACAGTTTATGATATACCAGTGAAACCTAAGTATCAACACTTGAGCAGTGTCTCGTGTTTATAAATATAAAATCCAAAGGTGGTTGACAAATTGCCATGTGGTCAGAACCATTTCTGAGACGAGAGAAAAAAAATTGTTGAGGGGTAATAAATTATGTCATGATACACAGTATGGTCATGTGATACGGAAATTATCTTCATCCGCGGGATCGGGTTAAAGATAGTCCATATGGAAATCCTAGTCTACAATATTGTTGGGCACCAATGCATCAGGCAGTCTGCACGGTCTTCACCACAACCCATTCAACCTCAAATAGAGCGTTCAGACCCCAAAAATTCCGCCTTACCTTTTGGTCCAGTAAAACAGTAACCATGTGATTCGCGCAGGCAACCAAATTAGTTTGGATTAGCTCCACACATATTGAGCAGCAATCAAGCCCCTGTTCTTCCCGTTGCTTGCCTCTCATTGGCTGGTCACCAAAATCACATGATCATCATCTTGGCTGGAATGGATTCTCCTCCGCCACATTGAAGCATATGTGAGTCATCCTGGAAATGCAGCCATCTCCGCTGCTGTCGTTGCCAGTGGACTGTTCCAATCTTTGTCGCAGTGCTATCGAGTCACTCTTCTTGCAGGCTTCGTAGTCTGTTTTATTAATACACCACCGATATAAATGGCTTCGTGGCCCAAAAGGCAACACGTGTGCCGAGGAAAGAAAGAGCCCCACGGTGAGAGTCGTGATTGGCGCCGGCCTACTTCTCACTGATAATTAATCGACAGGTAAACATCGGTACGGACGGCCACATCCTCTTAGCCGAAGGATCACACGCCTTTGCAATACACACCAAGCCGATGAGTGTGACATCGAGCAAAGAGTCTTATCCCCGCCGACCACGAATCGGCCCGGAGGTACTGTACGACAGCCATAGCATGCCAGGTTTCTCAAGAAGAAGCTAACTTTGCAGAATAGCTCTTGCATGAACATAACCGGAAGCGTAAGCAGGTTGAGCCACTTCAGCGCCCACTCGAGCGGTTTCGAAAGCGGCGGCGGGTCGGTCATTCACCTCCAGATGAGAAAGCAGGAGACGGGAGACGAAACGAAACCAATTACCCTCTGACGCACCTATCGAACAAGCGACTTCGAACTGACAGCTGCGTCAAATATTGGCTACTGCATAACTATCGGTGGCCCAAGCAGTCATTGGAATGCGACTCAATGGAATCCTTCCTTGCACGACCGAAAACCTTGTCCCTTCGTCGAACAAAATCCAGTGCGAGTTTGAGCGTAGCGAGCGAATCTAGTTCACGAGGAGCGAAAAGTAGCCCTTACTGTGATAAGAATTGCGAATTATTTCTGGAAACCAAAAGAAGCTTCCTGTATGAGCATGAGGATGGCATCAGTTACGAGAGCAGGACACTCTGTCGGCAACTGCTGGAGAATACTCCCAAAGTTCCTAGAGGTACCAGGTTCGACGATGATGTATTCGAATCAACGTGTCGGAGGGTACAAAGAAAGAACGAAACTGGCGTCTCCATTCTCATTACAGAATTGATTGTTCCTTTTGCCGAAGACACAATTTATTCTCATAATGTCAAATTCCCACGGTTCATCGAAAGTTTTAATGAAGGTTGGGATAGTTCGATTCCGCTTGATGATGTCCAGCGACTTCCACAATCCGGTCAACTTCAACGATTCCGACTACCTCGGCCACAGCCCGACCATGCTGTGGGTTTTGCACGGCAATCCTTCACTGAAGGCCATCTCAAAAAGCTTGCACCGTTTGTCGGTGAAATCGGCGATACTTCTTTCTTCCTGGGTACGGCCTACATGTATTTTCCGTTTTTGACTTCTGAAGTGAAGTGTGGAAAGGTGGCACTCGACACGGCAGATCGACAAAATGCTCACAGTATGACTCTTTCAGTAAGGGGCATTGTCAAGCTCTTTAGATTGGTAAAACGTGAGAAGGAGCTACATCAGGAGGTGCAAGGATTTTCTGTGTCGCATGACCACTGTTCTGTGAGGATATATGGTCACTATCCCGTGATTGACGGGGAGGAGACCACCTACTATCGTCATACCATTCACAAGTTCGATTTCACCGCTCTGGACGGCAAGGAGAAGTGGACATGCTACAGGTTTATTGTTAGCGTCTACGGTGACTGGGCACCTTCACATTTTAAGAAACTATGCGCGGCAATTGACGAGTTACCAGAATTTAAGCCTGAGGAACTACAGCAGTCTGAACAGAGCCTCTTGGAAGCGACTACTGGGCTTTCTCAGGAAATTGGAGCTGTTGGCCTGGGCTCGAGCTTTACATCTCAATTAGAAGAGGAGTGTGAGCCTCTTCCTACTTCACGGAATGATGACTTAGGAAATTTGTGGCCGAATGAAAAGAAATCTAAACAAGGAGTGCCAAGGAAAAGGCGAAAATAGCGATGCAGACAGCTAACCTGACCACGATAATTTGCCTAACCTTATTGGTATTCGGGATATCCCGCATCGCTAAGATCCGTTAAGGATCTGCGTTGTGAAGTCAAGGCTCAGAACCAGGAGTTCAAGGAATACAAATCCCAAGATATACAGGGGAAGTGCAGTTATTTTACATGAGATAAATTCAAAGTAGATAGACAGTGGAGAGCAGTGAGAGAAAAATGGCTTGTATATATCAATCAGGCAATGTGTTGCTTCA